TAATTATGCTAAGATAGTCAGGAAAGCATTCTGTGATTTTTCTGCATTTGGTTCAAGGCTGATCTGCAGATATGAGTTATATTCTCATAGAGCACTTGCTATATGTGGCATTAATGTGTACCTATATATTTAGTTCTGATTGTGTCTTGTTGCAGTTTTAGGGGGCAGTAGTACTGTATATTTATTATTATGTGATCAGTATTAAAACTGTTTTTAAAAAGCGGGTCATTGGATCAACAAAATGAATTAATTGGCAAAAGAGCAAATAAGCAGTGGTAGCAGAGCATCCAGGATCCATTTGTCCATATGTGCATCCAACCATTGGTTCATAGTGTGATAATAATTACATTTTGACTTAAGTGTGAGCTATGTAAGATGACAAAGGCACATAATGGTGCACTCAATATTGTGTTTCACTCATAGCCCTATGTTTGAATAGAAATGCAAAAGTTGTATTGCATCACATGATGTTAGAAGCTAGAAACCAGTCCATAACTAATCTGGTTTCTCTAAATAACTATTTTACTATTTGGGTCATAATGGCACCCTACCAAAAATTATTCTTGAATTTTAAAGATACTTAATAATAGTGCAGTACAGGGTATAGCCAATACCAATCAGGAACCATGCCTTGGCTTTCAGCTTATTTAGTCATAACATCTTGGACTTAGCTTTACCAAGACTTGCTGATAGACTCACACTTGCCCATAGTTACTAGGGGTGCAAAGTTGTAAAGCAAATCTTGTTTTTTAATTAGGATTTGAGATTAATGAGCAAGAACTAAGAAAAGATAACACTGCAGCATATCTGTCATGAAAATGCTTGCATTTGCAACAATTCAACTAAAACTGATGGTGGTATCCACTTGCAACTAAAACCGATGGTGTTGTCAGGAGCAACAAACTCATTGCAGAGCAGATGTCCCAGATTATGCTCTCATTGTCATTTAGATGTGACATTCTCTTTCTGTTTGAAACAAAAATATGCTTTTTTTCTGCAAGATCCTAAGCTTTTGGCATTTCTGGTCTATTCACCTTATGGGACTCCACGAGTGCAAATGTGCAAAACATGTCTGAATGCCTTTATTTTGGTTACACAAGGTGCTAGGTAAGGTGAAGTGATCTACATGTGGGACAGGGCTCTAATGCATGATAATGTATGTACCTCTGTGAGAGCTCACTCCTCTTGCCAGTGGTCACATGTATCCCTTCATGTCACATGTATCACATGTATCCCTATCACATGTATCATCCCTTACCAGTCAAAACAGACCAGTTCTGTACCAGTTGCCTCTGTCATCTTCCAGGGTTCATGTAAGTCTTGGTTGGCTGGGGTCTGAGCCAGGGCCAAGCATTGCACCAGTTCTGTACCAGCCTCTCTGTCGTCTTTAAGGGCCGACATGAGGCTTGATCAGCTGCGGTCTGAGCCAAGACCGAGCATTGTACCAGCTCTGTACCAGCTGCCTCTGTTGTCTTGCAGGGTTCACGGGAGCCTTGGCCGGCTGCGGTCTGAGCCAAGACCGAGCATTGTACCAGCTCTGTACCAGCTGCCTCTGTCGTCTTGCAGGGTTCACGGGAGCCTTGGCTGGCTGCGGTCTGAGCCAAGACCGAGCGTTGTACCAGCTCTGTACCAGCTGCCTCTGTCGTCTTGCAGGGTTCACGGGAGTCTTGGTCGGCTGCGGTCTGAGCCAGGACCGAGCATTGTACCAGCTCTGTACCAGCCGCCTCTGTCGTCTTGCAGGGTTCACGGGAGCCTCGGTCGGCTGCGGTCTGAGCCAAGACCGAGCATTGTACCAGCTCTGTACCAGCTGCCTCTGTCGTCTTGCAGGGTTCACGGGAGCCTTGGTCGGCTGCGGTCTGAGCCAGGACCGAACGTTGTACCAGCTCTGTACCAGCTGCCTCTGTCGTCTTGCAGGGTTCACGGGAGCCTTGGCCGGCTGCGGTCTGAGCCAGGACCGAGCGTTGTACCAGCTCTGTACCAGCTGCCTCTGTCGTCTTGCAGGGTTCACGGGAGCCTTGGCCGGCTGCAGTCTGAGCCAGGACCGAACGTTGTACCAGCTCTGTACCAGCTGCCTCTGTCGTCTTGCAGGGTTCACGGGAGCCTTGGCCGGCTGCAGTCTGAGCCAGGACCGAACGTTGTACCAGCTCTGTACCAGCTGCCTCTGTCGTCTTGCAGGGTTCACGGGAGCCTTGGTCGGCTGCGGTCTGAGCCAAGACCGAGCATTGTACCAGCTCTGTACCAGCTGCCTCTGTCGTCTTGCAGGGTTCACAGGAGCCTTGGTCGGCTGCGGTCTGAGCCAGGACCGAACACTGCCGGACGCCGACCGACCCCGGCAGTGCCACGATGACCACCTGCACGCGCCAGAACATCTTCGGCGTGACGGACCGCTTCCGCTGCCCGGACCGTGGTGGTGACCCGCAGAATCGGTTCTGCTGCGGCAACAAGACGAACCGGCACTGCTGCAGTCAGAACCCACTGGACTTCTTCTCCGGCGGTGGTGGCGGCGGCGGGAGCGGTGGCGGCGGCGGCGGCAGCAGCGGCAGCGGCGGCTATGGGGGAGGAAGCAGTGGAGGATTCGGAGGAGGAAGCAGTGGAGGCGGTGGCAGCTACGGAGGCGGCGGTAGTGGAGGAAGAGGAGGATATGGAGGAGGCAGTGGAGGAAGAGGCGCTATTGGACACTCAAACGGTGAAGTCAAGAGTGTGTAAGTAACGGAGGCCAAAAAGTTTGTAAAAACGAGAGTGCCCCGGCCGAGTAAATATGTGTCGAGTGCATGCCAAGTGGTTGGGGCCTTTGACTTCCATGTCGGAGCCTGTTCGAGTCCAGGCTGCTCCATGGCTTCCGAGCGTTAATATGGTCAATGCTGTCGCTGACGCTCCATAAAAGGGTGCGCAATGATGTGTACTGTGTTCCCATAAAAAGAGTGACCATCTCTCCACATCAAGTATTCCTTTAACTCACTACTACGCCACATGCGCTGGCACTTCCAGCCGGCTCAGACGGGCACGGACGCCGGAGGTTGGCCGGCTGGTCCTTCGGCGCGTGCCGGCGGCTGTGCTGACGCGCCGCCGCCCTCCTGTCGCAGCGCGGAGCTGGCGTCGGGCCTGGCCAGCGGCCTGCTGTTCCTGCTGCTGGTCGTCTGCTGCGTCTGCTGCGTCTGCTGTCCCTTCTGCCCCGTCAACAAGCGGCGGAAGCGTCGCGGAGGCGGCCGCAACTGTGAGTCAGCTGGGCGTGGGTTCGGTCACCGCTCTGAGGGACGTGATGACCGAGGGGTTAGCGCCTTTGGCTCCCATGCGGGGACCCAGGTTCAAATCTTGCTCGCGCCAGGGTCCATGGGCGCTTAAATGGCCTGGGCAGTTGCCGGTTTGCCCTAAAAGGGTGCCAAACGATGTGCAGCACGTGCCCTGTGCCGTTTTTTTAGTTGGTTTGCCGCTGAGTTGGTCACCGCTTGGTGGTTTCTTTACCAAGCCGCTCATTAAGATGATTGGAACTGGTGGTGCGGCCAGGCTGTGACGGGAAAGTGAACGTTCTCAACTGAGACCTAAACAATATGAATTGTGATTCTCGATGACTGATTGTGACATGTCTGATCCTGGCATGTAGTGATTGAACATGCTGCCGACAGTTGGCAACGATGGAGGAGGCGGCGGCGTTCCCATGGGTCGTGTAGAGCCCCCGCCACAGCCGACACCGCAGCCCCCGCCAAACTACCCGCAGCCGGGAGGAGGCGGAGGAGGCTACCCCCAGCCAGGTGGAGGAGGCTACCCCCAGCCGAGTGGAGGAGGAGGCTACCCTCAGCCGGGTGGAGGAGGCTATCCACAGCCAGGTGGAGGAGGAGGAGGTTACCCGCAGCCAGGAGGAGGCTACCCGCAGCCAGGAGGAGGAGGATATCCCCAGCCAGGAGGAGGAGGAGGCTACCCCCAACCAGGCGGCGGTGGATACCCCCAGCCTGGTGGCGGTGGTGGATATCCCCAACCCGGTAAGGATGCTCTGCTTGATGCAAATGAGAAAGGGGTTATATTAAACTTCATGTTTTCAGTCATGAATTTTTGTACCGAAAATAACCGAACTTCATTATACTGTGAGGTACTAAACCCGGGACAATATGAAGGAAATCATGAGCGCTGCCTTTGAGTGTTGATTGTGATGAGTTAGCAGTTCTTATTCCGACATTTGTCGACCTTTATTGTACCAGGAGATGCTGTTTAGGTAGCATTATCTACTTGGCGTTAGCCACGTGAACAAAACCCACTCGGTATGCTTGCTTGATCCTGTTGTTTAACTAGGACCCCTTGGTATGTTAAATGTTGATTACTCTCAAAAGAAAACTCCCAACTTATGCGAGGAAGCAGAAGCTCGCCTATTCTTGCGTGATCACATCTGGCAATCTTTATTTAGCCCAATACTTGTTTGATACTGCTTGAACAGTTCCTTTGCATGTTTCGGAGAGTGCTGTTTTCAGACTACTAGTTCGTTAAGTGTGCTGTGTGCTGGCTTGCTAAGTCCTCGCTGTGCGTGTGTATCCCCTGACTGTCTGTCAGTCCGTCGTTCTGTCAGCTCTGGACCTCCGTCAGTCTGCGGAGTGACCCGGCCGCAGCCGGTGTGGGCGGCTGACGTGACGTTCCCGCAGCGGTCGTTCCTCTTCCGCCCGCCCGGCAGCCGACCGCTCCGCTGTGCGGGGTGACCGGGGCGTGTCAGTCCCTCAGCCGTGTCCTTCCCAGCCGGTGACCGCTCGGGTCTGTGATGTGTCCTTGCGGCACGGCCGCGTCGAGACTGTTATGCTCGCCCGCCAGCCGGCGCCCTCTCCCCCGCTCTTGACTGGCGCTCTCTCCCCGGCCCCTGACCTGACCTGGACGGCTTCTCTGTCGCTTCAGGCGGCGGCTACCCGTCTCCTCCGCAGCCGCAGCAGCCAGGCTGGGCCCCGCCCGGGGCACCTTCGGCACCCTCGGCACCGCCGCCCGGCGGCGGCGGCGGCGGCTGGGCGGCACCTGGAGCTCCCTCAGGCGGTGGCGGCGGCGGCGGCGGTGGTTGGGCGTCGCCCGCCGCACCGCCCGCCGCGCCGCCCGCGTCGTCCGGCGGCGGCGGTGGAGACTGGAAGAGCGACATCGATAAAATGATGGGGTGAGATGGGATGGCGTGGGTGGCTCTCGACGCTGGAGGGGCTGTGTCCACTCATGTAGCGTTCGCTCTTGCGGTGGTTGTCTTGCAGCGCTGTTTCCCTTGTATGGGAAGTGCCGTATCATGTGTAGTGGATAAGTTGGTGCTTTCGGGCAGGATGAAACTCATCTGGCTTTAGGATGAAATTGCCGATCCTGGCACGCCGTAACCAACATCCAATGGGAGCTGACCGGTAATGCGGACTTAACTTCGTGTGTGAATATGTGCGGGTGCTCCGTGTGAAGGAGTATTCGCATTCCGCATCAGTGTGTTGTAACAGGAAAACGCGTGCGATTGCAGTAGGCTGACTCGGAGGGCCGCCGGTCTCGCGTTATTCCGCTGCAGTGCAATGGCGCGGTCGGAAAGCACGTGCTCGATTTTTGACTCCCGCTGCGGGCGCCAGGCCAAAAGTGGTAGCTTGCTGACGGGGAGTGTGCACGAGCCGACATTCCTTTTGACACGCGTGACTTGTTTGCTTCGACGCGTGTTCCATGGAGTCGGGACTGTTCGACCCGCCTGGGCCCACCGGTGCTCGGCTTACTGAGTTCTGCTCACTTTCAGTTTCGGCGATCCGGGCCAGGGAAAAGGAGGTAAGAGTCCTTGACTGGCTGTGTGACGGGAATGTCTGCGGGTGCATGGCCTTTCGCCAGACTAGGTGGTCGTTGCCCTTCTAATACGTCGCCTTTCTGATCCGTGGTAAGGCATGGTATCAGATGTATCGACCATGGTATCAGACGTGCAGTGAGTTGGCTGAATCCTTCCTGTAGGATCCGTCAGGCTGATTGTGGTGAAGTCAGCTGTCACGTGCCGCATTCCTGGGCGTTTACGGGACCCGACGCGTCACGCCGCATTGTTCTGCCTGCTGACGCTCCGACGTTCCTGTTTCAGACAAGCCACCGCCGTACAACCCCAACTTTTAGCGCTCCCTCTCCGGGAGAGCTGGGGGCGCTGATCGCCAGCCGGCCGGGACCGGTCCGTAGAGCTCCAGGAAGCGGTCGCCGTCCCTGGCTGCGCTGTTGTGGCTGCCGTAGCTTCGGTGGGCTGCGCAGCGGCCGCCGAAGACGCGGGAGCGCTGACGCCCCGGCTCGCCGCCGGCGGCTACCCCGCGCGCCTGCTCGCGGCCCGGGACGCCCGACGTGGGACCTCCATCCCCAGGCCCCGGCTTGTCGCGAGTCTGTGTCGCCGCCCCAGCGGACGTGTCTGCCGGGCCGGCGGGAGCCAGCGTCGGGGTGCATCGCGGGATGGAGACGGTCCCCGAGCGACGCCGCGGGCCGGCGCCGCCTCGTCCGTCTCCAGCGGCCGGCGACGCACGCCCAGCCCACGGCGCGGGGGCGCCGCTGTGCCGGACGGCTGCGTGTGGCCCGGTCATCGTGCGTTTAGGGACGGGTGTGGTCTGTGTGGTGTTCGGCCGGGGAGCAGGCGTTGCTCGCGCCTCCCCGCGGACCCGACGCCGGTGGCGGCGTGTGGGCGGCCCCGCTTGGTGTTGCACACTCACTTCATCGCACAATGCGGGTGCACGGATTGTGGCGGGCGCGCTGCGTGGCGACGTCGGTTTAGATAGACGACCTAGAAATGCATTTGACTCGGGTGTGTTGTTTTGAAGGTTTTGTTGAAGTTCGGCTCAGAGGGGACGTCGACCGAATCTCCGTGTTCGTTGTTTTGAATACTCACGGCGTTTTTCGGAAGCGAAAGGTATGATTTAAAGACGGCCACCCGTCGTCGGGGCGTCACTCAGACGGCGCTGTGACGGGCGCCACTACAGCGGGTTTTGTCGATCTGTGCCGCCAGTCGATGTAGTGTAGACGGGATGCAGCGTGTTGCTCGGCTGAGCTGGTGTGTTCGTCTCGTCCTGAATCTCCGGTGTCACCGGCGCGGCCGCAATGACCAATGCGAGAAGCCGCGCTGTTCCTGTACATTCGCAGCCAGTGACTAGTAGCCTGTGCAGGCACAGCCAGGTCGGTGGGGGACGGCGCTGGCGTGGCGCGGTGCTTCTGCTTGTCGTCACGTGCCGGTCGGCCGCGTGCCTGCCCCTCCCCGGGCTCTGGGGCGGTCGCTGCCGCCTCGGGGCCATCAACATTTGCCGTCCTCACGGGCTCGCTGACGTGCCGTGTAGCGTGTAGCGACAGGGCTAGCTGATGAACGGCGGCGTAAAGCGTACCTGCTGCCACCGCGTTTGCTGATCCCCGCGGTTTGGCGTACACAATATCCTACTTAGTTTTGCGGTCTCTTCTTGCCACTCGCCAACGACTGCATCAAAGCGGTGTGAATGTGGACCGTACTCTACTTAGCTTTACGGGCCCCCCCGCGGTCATCAACGACTGGATCAAAGTTGAAGTCAAACTGAACTGTGCCTGGGCGGAATGTTTGCCGCGTCACGCCCTTGGAATGGCACGGGCTCTGGTTTCGCGTCCTGGAACTACTGGCCGTGCCTTACGCATGCGTCCGCCTTGTGCCTTTGTCTGGCTGGTCTGCTTTGACAGTGTTTTCGACTCGTCACTATTTTTACATTGAACACTAGTGCGTCTATGCTTTTGCTTGTTTGGTGTGCTCCAGGTTTCCTCCGGTTCGCTTATTTGCGTTCTTTTAGCATCCTCATACGCCATACCCTGTGCAAATAGCAAATATAAATACATTTGAGTCTCTGTCACTACTTCCTATTTTCTACGGCGAGACACGCTCGTGCACTCGGGCACAGCGCACGTGCAGATACATCCTGCATCCTGCAGCTGGAAGATCGCCAGAGTACTGCGATATCACCATCTGCGGAATGGCACGTCGCCAAGAATAAACCCACGTGGAGGAAGATAGTTGCCAGGCTATTCGTCTGTCTTGCACTGCTGGCGCCGTTGTCGGCCTTGGCCGGGCCGGTGATCCGTCGTCAGGCAGCGAGGCCGCGGCGGCCCCTGGCCAGCCGGTGTCGGGACAGTACGACAACGCGCTGACACTGGCCGCTGAGCTCAGCCCTCTCAGCGGGCCCCTGCCAGTGCGGCACCACGGCGCGCGCGGCTGACTGACACAGGCCAGCCCGCTGTGAGTCTCGTGCGTCGGAGCACCTGGACAGTTATGCAGTCTCCGTGTCAGGCCTGCCGTTCTGATCAGTCCTTGACAGTCTCCGCGTCAGGCCTGCCGTCCCGATCCGGGGCTACGTCGGCGGACGGCCCAGCTGACGCCGACGCGCCGCTGAAGATGGTATCTGCGGGACAGTTCCACAGGGCTACCCGTCTGATCAGACTCGACCCGTGCGAGGATAGATCTCCTAGTAGCGCGGACCTTGGCCGGGGCGGCAGCGCTCGTGGCGCGGGCCAGCTGAGCGGAAACTGGATCGAGCTTCGACTCTCAGCGCGGCGTTTGGCTGCAAGTTCACGACAGTCTTTTTCTCTGGTGTTATGTTCGGCATAGTGAACCCGCATGGGCTGGGAAGCCAGCCAGGCACCAGTGTGTCACCAGGGGATCATACATAGCCATGCAGGTTGGACGAATCGACAAGAAGCATACATTTAAATTTGTGCAACTTTGTTACCTCCATCGTCATTGCCGTGCCATTATCTTCGTTTCACGTTACCAAACCTCATGGCGTTGTTGTCATCTCGCGACGATCACCAAATGCCGGAGAACGGAACCAGAAGCCCACAGCACCGGTCAAACCAGTTATTTTCGAACCTTAGCTTTGTTAACGAACATTGCTTACTGGTTGATCACCCGACTTAATCTTGAAAGCTCCCATGTATTGGACTGATCGGACAAAATGACGTTGATTAGCAAATACCGCCTGATATGACTCGATGAGCTTCGGTGTACGGGAATCGTTTACCGCCCAGTCAGCCGTTTTGACCATCACACAGTCACCCCATACATGGATGTTTTAAGAAAGCTTCACTCCCGCCGTCAGCTTCTCCACTGTAATTCACCACCTGTTTCTCAGCCAGGGAATGTCGCTACTGTAGGGTAGCTTGAGCAAATACACCATCACTTGGCTACCCTTCGCAGAGGCACGCGGTTACCCGCCCCGCCGGCTTGGGTCGTGGAGCCAATGCCTCTCCCCATCTTAAGGGGCGTGGATCCAACCCTCTCGTTGCGCCTGCTATCAAATTCCTGAGGGCGATTCTCAGCGCAAGTGCGGGCGCGGCCGACATCTCTCGGATAATTTATGAACTGCAAGCGCTATTCTCGAACATGGGAATAACAGCCACCCGGTGTGTTCGTCAGTTGTTGCTTGGTCGGCATCGTGTCAGAAATAGGTTTCTGAGCAGGGCTGTCGGTTCCCCTTTTCGAGTCTGATGTTCAACAAAGCATTGCACGATAAGGTTTAAACATGGTACGATTGAAACATTGCACAGACCGTGAAAGAAGCCCGTAGCCAACACAATTCTTCAAAAGTCCATACCAAACTGGAACCCGCACGTTGCGGACCGGGAACATAAATGGCAGATGCGATAATCTGAGCTCTGCGGACCACTTTCTAGCAAAAGGTATGCAAAGTTTTTGTGCATGCAACAGCCACTGGAAATTCCATTTGGCAACAAGGGCAGCCTCTGTGCCTGATCTATACTTGGCCAAGACCCTGAGGCTGTGTACGGACTTATTTAACTGTGTGTGACTGTCACTAGCTTTACCTTCGCAAGACAACCTTGCCAGCCAATAAGACTAGATAATTATGTGGAAGGAGAAAAAGACATCGCACAGCACAGCGGTACCACGGAGTTCGGATGTAGCTATACTGGCTGGCATGCAGCGGCGCAGGGAAGGCGGGCTTGCCCCTCCCCTTTGGCAAACATTTTTACCGTTCATGATACATGTTGACGAGCTGGATGTCATATTAGTCTGCTTCGACTTCGGGGCAGTTAAGTTTTCTTTGATAGGAGCGCTTTCACAGGTGGACGATTTGCTTTAATACAGCACCTAAATGACGAAAATTACGAAGTTTCACCTCCTCATTCGAGAAACATTGACAACATAACAATATCAAAGTACACTGGTTCCAAAACAAGGAAAGAAATGGTTTCGTTGCGGAAAGCCACGTGAAGCAACTACCTGGTGTCAATAAAATTTGACGGAGATGTTAGGTTCCGGAACAAAAAGTAGAATACAAAAAACGAAAAGAAAAAGTGCAACAAAGTGTCGAACGCAGCTGGTCGAAAGGGATAAAAGGTAACAAGGATGCTGATGACTGGGTTTTGCTATCGCACGCCATAAGTGCTCTAAGCTGGGCCAGACCTTGTCACCCGGCGAACGGTCCTGGCAGGAAGCCAACCTTCCAGCCTTCACGACCGAACAATACGCGACACACCCTAAGGGTATCAGGCGGCCGATCGGCCATGTTCGATGTCCCTGTCAGCGCCCTGTTTAGCCCATGAAGATCACCCCCTGACCTGTTCTGGGACAGTCGCGAGCCTCACAGGCACAAACGGCGAGAGGTAGCGTACGGCGGCGGTGCCAGTGGCGAGTCCTTTTTTTTCTTTCTCGCTTTGTTCTGGTGTTGGACAGGCACTGGCCTGGTTCCCAATATTGGTTCCAATTTTGTTCGCATTTCCTTCTGGAAACGAGGTCTGGATGGTTGGTTCCGGCTGGTTTCGACATACGTCCATACCCCGGCTGCTGCCTACCGTATTCTATCGCTTTTTTGCAAACACAGCATCCTGGTTCCTGGTCCTCCCTAGTTCTTTCGCAAATGAAAATGGAGGCTGCTGATTTCAAATGGCATCCTCACAAACACCAACACCTGGGATATTGCGCCGGGCCATGCTCATATGGATGTCATTCGGAAGACATTGGTCTGCTGAACACGACCTGGGGTGCCAATTTTTATAAACCATTGTGGGGCCGAACTGAAGGCTCCTCCGAACCGAACCTACCACCCCTTTTTTTCTCGCTGGACTTAGCCCACTTAATTTTGATTGAATGCGACATATGTCTTTAATCTTTGAATAATTTATAAGCCTTCAAATAAGCAGTAAAAAAGTAATGCAGGGTTGGATCCAGGGAGCAGGCGCTGGACGCACGCGTGTCTTCTGATCGGCACGTGAAGGCGCCCCTTTAGAGGCCGCCTTAGGGCGCCGATGGCGCTCTTCCATGACGGTCACGGGAGACGCCACGTGTTTTAGTTGTGTGGGACGGGGACGGGGTTAGCCATGAAGGACCTTGGTCATTCCCATATTCCAGAGCTTTTTACTTTAACCTCACAAGCCATTGCGTGTCTTATGGGCTAGGTATGTGAAGTTTATTGCATCGTTTATCCGCTCAGCTGTTACGGTTTTTATTTTGGGGTGAGAGCAACCATGA